AAGGCTAGATGTGGGCCAGTTAAACAACATCTCAGACATTGGAAAAGATCTAGAGAAACGAAGCCTCCTGCATCCCTGTGAGAAAGCCCTTGCCCCTTCCTATCCTCCCCATGTCCTGGAGGGGAGGGGAACCTGACAAGACCACAAGAAAGAGCTCAGTGAAAGTGAGCAAACATCATTAAAATTATCCAATGGACCTCAGTAAAAATGTACTGAGCTGTCCTGGCTGAGAGAGACATTTTTCACACTGTAATGGCCACACAGCTCCCTAAGTGGAAGAAGGAAGGTCATTTACTTCACAGGAAAAAAAAAGAGTCTATGAGATCATTTATAACATTACTCACAACCATTATCTATCCCAAATCATTCTTATGCCTTGTCTGTGATATTGGCTGCCTTGCAGTGCTTTGAGTCTCTCTTAACATAAAATCCTTTCTTATTCCTTAATGGCATACCAGCTGAAATATTTAAAGCATTTGCAGACAAATGTACCTAATTGTATCCTAGATGCACGAAGGCCCCAGGGAACACTAACTGCTGCCACAGTCACATTTACCTGCCCTCGGGGAGTCTGTTGTTTCAGTAAAACCCTGTCAAATACAGGTTGGTTAATAAGAAAATGCTTTTCCACAAATAGAGCATATTTGGGCTCACATCCTGCACTGACTCATTCTTCCACCTGATAAAAGCTTCCTGACCTCTCCCACAAGCTGCGAGCTTGCTACACCCCAATTAAAGGGCTGCGCTGGCTGGAGGGCCAGCAGGGCCTGGCTGTTCCACACCTGCAGCCGTGGTCCTCATTTGCCTGAAGAAAAGCCCTGTTTTCACCTTCACAACCGGCCCCAAGCATGTGGCTCCATTCAGGTGCAGAAAGGCAGACCTAAAGTCGGTCAGGAAGGTTAGGCAAGGAAAGAAGAACACATTCTCATGGGTCTTGAGCCACGCAGTGTCTTGTTTGAGTCAGCCTGAAGGCCCCTATCCCAGCCCCCATGTGTTTGGCAACGGCTTTTCATGCGTGACCCTCTCAGAAATCACCAGGTTCCAGCTTGCCACAATCCAGTGAACATCTTAACTAGTTTCTTCTCTGCACATAGTTTTCAGTAGTTTGACTAACAATTGCAGTGTGATGCCCAGTCCACCACGTGAGGGGCTGGTAAGGATCATTCAGGTTCTCCTGAATTTTTTTTTTATTTTTTTTTTACTCACAGCCTTTATGCAGCTGGGAGTCGTACCCTGAACTTTCAGAAAACATTTGTTTTTGCTTCTGAGTTCATGCTGCAGAGCATGACTGATGCATTGCAGAGCCCTGTGGAAGCAGTTGGGGCCTCCTGCAGGATCATCATCGTGTTTTGTTTACTTCAAGGATCTGGCGCAGTTGTTTCCTCTGACTGGGGCTAACGAGTGGGTCCTGTTTACTCTTTCCAGAAATGCAAGAAAAGACGATGTGCCTTTGTGAGGTAGTGTGTCCAAGAAGAAAAACTCTTGGTGTGTCCTACCACTGAAGAAACTACAGCTACTGCTCAGGATCTCTGCAAGCAGGCTGTGAGCCCTGCTTGTTCCTTAGCATATTCAAAATGACCACTGTGTTAGCAAGACATTATTTGAATAGCAGACAACTGTGGAAACATTTGGCAAGAAAACATGTGAGAGATAACAAAGCAATTGCAATCTTTGGCTGCCACAAAGCGGATTGTTTGAAAATCCTGCCCAGAAAGTTCTGAGGGGAAAATGTTACGTGTGGTGCCCCAGATTATTTTATACGAGACATTAACATTTTTGCTGGTTATGACTATCACTTTTCCCATGCTACTGACAGTGCCCTGAACCGATACAAGGGCAAAAATAAATTGTCTTGCCCAGACCTTGTAACTGTGAAAAAGCACGCCCTATTCCCCGAAGCAAAAGCGGTTGAATGATCTACTCTAAGAAACATGACTCCAAGTATTTAGTGGCAGCCATCTCAGATCACTGTTGTGCAGCCTCAATAAAAATTTGAGAGGTGGGTGGAAAGCAACTGAGAGCACTATGAATGAGAATGGTTAGTCCTAAACCTGTGCTAAGGCTAACAGCCAAAGAATAAAGGAGCTGGTGAGGGGGAACACGTTGTTCTCATTATCTGCCAGTGGTTGCACATCTGCACTAAAAGACAACAAAAGGGCATTTTTTTTTGTACAATTGTACATTGTGTAATAAGATAAGAATAAAACTAATTCACATTTATCTAGAATTTCTCAGAATGGTTGTAGTCCCTGTAGACATAGCTGACTATAAAATGTGAAAGTCTGAGTCACACCAGCAGATTGTACGTGGCAGAGAAACTAATCTGATGTAATAGAAATGTTTACAAGCTCAGTGACCCTTCTCCCTCCACCCTCCTCCACTTTAAAAAGCCACGTAAGGCCATGGATCAAAGCAATGAAGTGGCAGCATGCTGAACACTGAAACAATAACAGCCCTGACTTCCTCAGACGTCAATAGTGCAAGTTACTGGAGGATTTTTGCATTCACTGAAGAAGGTAATATAATCATATGCATCAAAGACTGAAAGTGGAGCTATAATGCCACCACCTCTTATCACTAAAATATTGCTAAACATGATTAAACATGGTTCAGTGGAAATATCAGAAGCTGACTACCCAGTGGGATCAAAAAAAACAGCAAACAGTTCAGAAATGTGTACTCAGTTAATGCTTACCAGATGCAATCAATTTAGAGTAATAGTCAGTTCCAGTCTTTAATTCATATCTTTATGAAATGAGTACAGATACACTCCTCTTATGTCTAACAGATTTCCTGCCTCTATTTTTTTTTTTTTTTTTGGTCTTTTCCAAGCAACATACCACCTTGTGTTACTTGAACTCTGTCCCTCCCTAAGAAAGCTGGAGGTCCCTTACAGATAACAAACCTGCTATTGGTTCCTGAGCAGATCTCAGGTTTGGTAAGGGTAAATGTGATGACACTATGCATTTAGGGTTTTGCAATACACGTGACTTCACTGCGCATGACACTGTGAAAATAAATGAGAAGTGCAAAGTCAAAAGAGCTCATAATAATCAGATTAAATGTTGCTTGTAAATGAGATTTTATCACCCTGGGGGATGTTCCTTGCAGGGTCCCACAGGATTCCTTTCTGGTCTTTGTGGAAAATCTGCAGAAAAACAGAAAAAAATGTTGAAGAATTGTGAATGATAGGTTAGATAGAAAAATTGATCTGGATTACTTGTTAAAGGAAGGTCAGTTTAATGGTATCCATTTTGACAGCCAAATGAAAATCCGTAAAGCTAGGGACAAATAAAATCAGCTTTCCTACAGGAATGGGGGCTCTGTTTTAGAAAGTGGTGGTTTAGTGAAGGATTTAGGTGAAGTGGCTAGTAATCAATCCTATAGGCACTCTCAGGATAGTTCATAGCATAAAGGCCAATTTGGATCTCAAAGAAGAGCAGTGATATATTTAGCTGCCCTACTCAAGTGCTGGAGAAAGCTCAGATGAAAGCAACAAGACTGATCAGAAGTTTAGAAAATGTCAAGTTGGGGGGAAAAACTGAGCCATGAGAATGTGTCTAGTCTGAAAAAGACAAGACAACAACTTTCAAACACATAAAAGGTAGTAGCAACAGAGACTGTAACAAAGTCTTGTCCATACCTTCTGGTGATAACACAAGAAGTAACGAGCTTAAATTGCACCAAGGAAGATTTATGCTATCCGTCAGGAACATTTTCTAGTGACAGACAACCGAGCACTGGAACATATTGCAGGTTACCACAGGATTAAGAGCTGTTTGGGCCAGTGGTTTCCAATCTTTCTTTTGTACCTAATCTCAACTCAGAAAACTGGCAGCATTCTCCCTCCCATTGTTAAGTGGTAAAATTGTTTTGTCTTAAAACAAAGAGCCTTAAAGGCTTTTGAGTACTGGAAATAATAGTGATGATGATGATGACACACACAAAAGACATTGCATAGGGAATTCACCGGCTTGATTAAAAACAAATGGAAAGTTAGCTTGGGAGGTAGCCACGTTTCAGAATGGCCTTTAAGAGCAGGAAAATACTCGAAAGCTGGCTGGGGTGCACAGAGCAGACGTGGTGGTAGAGACTGTGGGGCTGTGCAAGAGGAGTCATTGCAGACAGCTGCAATGAATCAGTCTTAAAGTAAGCAAGACATAACTGGGTTTGGGGATGAGTGGAAATGAAGGGAAACTGAGGACTCGGGGGGTGCCCATGGGGTTACTGGCAGGCCATAGGGCTGTGAGCAGAGAGGGCCAAGGTGAGAAACATAAGAATCAGGCAAAGGGCACAAATCAGGGCATGGCTGACCCAGTCTCAGGGTGATGATAATCAAGGAGATCTCTTTATGAATGCAAATAGCTACTGAGCAATCTTTGTCAGATATATTGCACTTGCCAGCCAAAAAGTGATGCAGAGCTGCTGACAAAAAAAAAAGGGGAGGAGGGGGAGGGAAGGGGGGGCATATTTCTGTTTTCTGTTTCTTGTGTTGCTTAAACTGTCTGAAGCCTAAGGAAATGTACGCTGAAGTAGATTTGCTCATGAAATCAGGAAGGCCCTGCTCTGCTGACCATCGAGGGGTTGTGTGGATGGTGCCCTCAGGTATTCATTTCCCAGGAGCCTAAGGATATGCCCTTAGGCTGTGTCACTCATACCGCCCTGTCTGGAATCCCTCATTTCTCATGTTTGGGAGCTAGAGTCACGATCTCTAATGTTGTCTCATTAGCTGGGTAGAGAATTGCCAGGCCTCCCACTATGTATGTGTGGGCAGCCCCTTGTCTTCGATTAGTTCAGAATACTTTCCAGCTGAAGTTAACCTTCATGACATGCTCAGTGTTATTCTCTATGTTATTGCTTGAGTCTGGAAAAAAGTGTGTTATTTCCTCGCCCCCCCAACATGTTGCTCTAACCATTAAAACACACTGCTAGGTATAGGGAAGAAGCCAATCTGGAAATACAGTTCCTAAACAGTCTCTGTACATTTTAGACGGCCTTACTGATATCGTAAGTCCTGCCTGGATGGATCCCTACATCCTCCCTCACAGTTCCTGGCCTGGTGGGGACTTGAAATGAATGTCTGGCTGAAGTCAGAAGCATTGCTCCAGCGCTGTATATACCAAAACTCCTCTTGGAGGGAGTCCCAGCCCACGCTCAGCACTCTGAGATTAAGAAATGTACAGAACTGTAAAAACACAAATCACAAACAAGCTCGGTGAATTTTGAAGAGCAGTTTTTGAACACCCCAGTGTGGACGGTAAACCACAACAACAGTAACAGGAAAAGCAGCACCACAAACGAAAACCCAGTACTCCATTTGAAACTAAATTCATTTAATAAACTAGAAGAAATTGCTCAGCAATGAAAAACTCCAGCACCACCACCCTGACCACATAAGATACATGAGAATAAACAGACTTGTGGGCACACCTCAAGCAAGCTTAAAACAGAAGCCTGCTCCAAAACAGTCTCCACACTAGCAAGGTGATCTCACTGTCTGGTAGAAATAACGCTCATCGGCCAACTGTAATCAATCAATTTCACAGGACTGCTTACTATATATAAAAATTGAGGTTGGTAAAAATGTACAGGACGTTTGTTCCAGACCACTGTCTTCTGACCTCGATGAGCAAACAAACTGAAAATATTTCTCACGGAAACCGGTTTTGGTTTACAGGTCAGGTAATAACTTGGGAACGTCAGCAAAGGACAAACAGCAGCTCAGCAAAGCCTGCAGAGGACCTCTGTGGTGATGTTTTTGATATGGTAGTGAAACCCCACTTGGCGTCTGTTTTTCCAGAGGGGTCCAGGAAATGAGTTTTATTCTTGCTGATGCCTGGGCAAAACAACTTTGGAAGATGAGTGACTCGTGCTGGAGAGGCAGGTCGTGGAGGGGGTGAAGGAAGGACAGCTTGCTGCAGTGGATAGCAGGTAACCAAGAGCTTTCTGATGCTCGGGCACAGGACTGGTTGATTGAGCAGGGAAAACATCTGACTTCTCCATCACAAACAAGACTGTATGTATAGACAAACACATATTCTGTGCCAGCAAATGGTATATTACAACTTTTGTTACTCATTGTGTGAAAGCTCATTTTTCCATGATTTGTGTCAAGCAACTGTTGAGTGAATGTGGAAAGTCAATTAAAAGTACACAAATTGTATCTTTTATCACAATTTTCTAATAATAATAACAACAATAATAATAATGATAAAAACCACCTGTTTCAAATGTGTTCAGTTTTTTGTGGGGAAGGTTGGATAGAAAATACATCAAAACAGGTTTTGTACTTACATCTAACGGACATATTAAATAAGGGAAGTAGCAAATGTAGTTGATGAGGGAACAGGATGCTTCTGGTCACTGTGAACTCTATACTCAAAGATATAAAAGCTCATAAAGATAGAGAAAAGTGCTCTGTGGTGTTTCCCATAGCATCGTCCTGCTACTTGCTATGGAAATCGGTGACAGTCGTGCGAAGTGGGAACGGTACCTGCTTGAGCGGTTTGGAAAATCTCACCCCACTTCCTTCACATTTCTAAAATGAGTGTATCTTGACCTTGCCCACCTGTTTCTATTCACAGGCTGGAAGAGGAAATGAGATTTGATGCTTCTTCCACTCCCGACTGATTTTTTAACTGTGAATGAACTTAGTCCAAATGAAGAAAGTGCGCTCTTCACACACATTAGCTAAACTGAAACCAAAAGTCAGTACTTGAAACACTTTTCTGCATAACAGAAACCAAAACTCTTTGCATTTAAAGAGGGTAAATACCTAGCAGAAATATATATATATGTATATATACTGAAAACTGCATGATGTTTCAAACCAGTCTTAAGAGTTAAGATGGTTTCCTCTTTTTACCTGTGACTTTGCAGCTTGCCTTGAAAATCACCATTATCAGACTGGCAAACCAAGGGCAGCAATTGCTGGAGCTGAAGAGAAACGTATGTCTCAAAGTGAGAAATCTCTGACTTCACTGTGTGACCTCTTCTGCTGGGCACATCGGCCGGTCTCCACCAGACAGCAGGGCATGATGGCAGTAGGTCCTCTCTGTACATAGAACAAGTAACAGGGAGTGCAGATGGAAAGGACAAAAGGAGAGGGAATGGAGAAAAAGAAGGATTTGTGAGGTGCTGGGAGGTTAGGTGCCTTGTCCAGGACCACACAAGAAATTCATGGCAAGCAGGTGAACCATTTGCTGGCACCAAGAAGGGTATGTGACGGGTGAAGTGCCTCTTCCCTGAGAAGCTGCTAAGGAAACAATATGTGGATTATCAGCTGTCACCCAAGTGTTACTTCACAGTAATATTGCCATTCATCAGCTCCTGAGATAAATAGGGCAGATGGCATGAACTGCCCTATTTTGTGGAGGTGCCTGCTGCTTTCCTCTCAATATAGAGAGCCCTGGGTGACCAGCTTGGACTACTTAGCCACCTTCTCAGTGAGGAGACATAAATCCTTCCCCTGCTTTTGTGGGTATACGTTGCACCATATCTGGCCCTGGGATGGAGGAGTGAGAGGTTCCTTGGGGCCAGCAGAGGTAACTTGGGCTCTGCTGGATGCTGGGTGCAAAGGAGAGCTGTTTACCACAGCTCTGTCCATGTTCCCCTCTCTCTGCATGAAAAAGCTTACCCAACTGAGAGTATTGGCAAGGAAAAAATGGTCTTTTATGCTAAATGATATTCTGTTGTATTTTACACAATGCAGGAGGTACCAGAACTTCTAGCAAAAACTGGAGCAACTGAAAGTCACCTAGTCACCTAGTCACATCAAGCCATGTTTGAGACCTAGCCATAACCATTCCTCTCCAATTATTGACCAATTCAGCCCCAAACAGGCACATACAAGCTGCCAGACTGGATCAGAATTTGAAAGACTGGTGTTTAACCTGGTAGACAACTTAGCCTTTATGGTGGTCATCGTTTGGCAGAAGATGCTGTAAATTACTATATCTTGTGGTAGCTGCATAGGAAGGATTTTCTGCATTGACAGCAACTTTTCTATCAGGAGAGGATGCTACGAATCTTGGTGTAAGCAAAGACCACAACAAGTAAATAGACCTAAATAAGTTTTAAGATACACAGAATACTTGTAAGCATAACTACTCTTGGGCAGTTGTTATCATCAGGTGGAGAAAATGAGGCAGAGAGTTGCCTGGCTCTGCTAAGGACACGAATAAATTCCCGTTCTTGTTCACAGAGATCCCCTGGGTTTCTTTGTATCTTCCCCACACAGACTCCATGGCATCCTGTACGTGAACTTTGCAAAACAGTGAGCATCAGAAATTATTTTAGTGCTATCGGTGTTGAAGAGGGGAAATGGAGAACGAAAGAAAACACAGTATCTTTTTCCCCAGAGAGGTAGGGCAGTGCTTACCAATGGAAAATAGTGGGTTTCCTTTTGCAACGTGCATAAATCTGGACTTTCTTCCCTCCTGGGAGCTTATGCTGCATTGTAGCTCCCTTGACATGTCCCTCTGAGCAGTGTGAGGCTTTCAGCCATGGTGTTTCTAGCTCTCTTTGGAATACAAACTTTGGGCTTCATTCAAGAAAGCACTTAGGCATGTGTAATTCCTTAAATTTCAATGTGACTATTCATGAGCATAGAGTTAGCACATATTTAATTGCCTTCCTGAATATGGGCCAAAACAGAGAGTATCCCAGGAGTGTTTGGGAAAGAGTCTTAGATTTCATTACTTTAATAAAGATAGCTGCTCCACTTCAAAATATTTCACAAATGGTTTGGAAAGGTTTGGGACTTCTTGCTAACACATCTCTGGGGGTGAGGCAGGCAACCAACCCTGTTGGAAATGAGATGAGGATTGTCTGTGCTTGTACCACCCCAAGGGAGAGGACCCATCTGAGAATTAATCTTTTCATGTTAATTTTTCCTAAATGGCAGCCCAGCAAGTGCTCAAATCCAATGTTCTCCACATCCATTTGTGAACATATCAGTTTTTATTACCACCATTTGGGAAAGAGCACTGGATTTAGAATATTCAACTGTGCAGGTAAAAGTTGCAGAGAAAACTCTTTAGTGTCTTATTTTCTAGAGTTTGCTTTCCATTTTAAGAATGAGTGCAAGATGATAAGCAGAAAAATATGCTTTTTATGTTAGCTCTGATATGGTAACAAACTGGAGGTACAATACCAGTAAAGATGGTATGTTTTATTAGTCTCGTTAAAATTGCCACTCAGATTCCACAGACCACAGCATTCATCCAAAATTGTTATCGAATCTGAAAAGCACCTAAATCTTCAATATTTACAACCATGTCTTGACCAAGTAGTGCAGATACCTTCTTTATTTTTCAAAACTAGCTTTAAAACTCGATGTGGGTTGTGAGTGAGTATCAGCAGATTTCATTTATCTTTTCCACTGTAAATAGACAACATCTGAAATTGCTGGAATTTCAAAATTGAAGCATTTTGCCCAAGACCTATATTCATTTATCCTCTTGCAGGTAATAACAGTGGAGGCCTCCATATCTGTGATGAGACTCATCTCATCTTAAAATAGATGTCTTTTTAAAAGAAGGGAAAAAAGTGTGTGTTTCTTTTTCCATTGCCCAGAGAAGTTTTAGCTGGTGATCTCAGATGTGCACATCCACAATTCTGACACCTCTGCAGAGGTGAGATGAGTCCTACCTTGCATTGCTGATTTCTCCACTGACTGAACAACAGGTAATGGACACAATGGAGCCACTACAGCTGCAGTGCAAGAATACAGATACAGGTCTCTTCCTCTTGCAAACAACCTTGTTTTTCGGCTTGAGCATAACTATGAATGGGGAGAAGGCAGTGGCTGAGAAATCATTTCTTAGTTTTCAGACCCCAATTTGCAACATTGGCAGCTAGCAAGAAAAGCCTCCTTGGCCTGCTACAGTCATGACCCATATATACACCAAACTGTTTGGGTGATGCTGAAGATTAGCACACTGACCGCTGCTGCAAGCTTCGAGGGTTTTGGATTGAGTCATGTGTGGGTGGGGGTAAGGCTTTCTCCTTCCCAGGCAGTGTTGTTTTCACTGACAGCCTGGGCTAGATGAGGGAGGAAGGAGGTTAATGAAACAGCAAATGTGTCCCTGCTTGTGGCAGCATCAAACACGGATGCTCAGCATTTTGGGGTTGAGGGCGGGTGTCCAGCCTCAGTGGTGGAGACGGTTTAGGGGCTCGGTGCAGTGTCTGTGCGCTGCTGGTGCCACCTCTCCTCCTGCCCTCTGCACAGCTGAGCTGCTCTGCGTGGCACAAAGGCTCCTTCATCTAAAGGAGCCCAGGCCGTTCCCGGTTTTGCAATGGCAGAGCTGCTTTGGGCTGTAGGGTGAAAGTAGACTGAGCCACAGTCTGTTCTTGCAGCATAGGAAATGGGTTAGTATGCAGAGGCGCGTGTGGCTGAAGATGTTACGCAGCAGGGTACATTGCTGATAGTGCAGTACGCTTCTCTGCTCGAGGTGACACAGGAACATCCCCCGATGGAGGTGAGAGAAATGCTTTTGAAAGACGTGTGAGAGATCTTCAAAGATAATTTCTGCTTTAGCCGTTCATGAGGACAAAGGGCCCAGAAAGGCAAAAGAGAATGGGATACTCATATTTACACACAAGCACTCACATTCTTGTGTAAAGATAGCGATCATACGTGGAAACAGGCAACCGAAAGTTTCCCCGGTAAAAGTGTAATTCTTGTAAAGCGGGGCTGGTGTGTACAAAGATAGTGCACTCTCACTGAAAGGACTGTTTTAAAATTAGCAAATTGTGACCGTTCGCTTTATTTTAGATCTTATTTCGAAACATAAGGCCGTGCTTATAGTGGCATCTAGTGGCTGTGCTTACGGAGGTCTCTTCCCCGACACCGCTGTCAACTCAGGGCACAGGAGCTGACACGAGCTTTTTGCCTTTCGGTCTAAGACTCCAGCAGCATTTTCCTTGTGCTTCTATTGGAGCAGCGCAAAGGTCAATACCGAAGTCAGAGGAGTCCCAGATATTAGGATGAATATTGGTTAGAGCACCTTATAAATAGGCAAAGTTCTGGGTTCACGGCTTCGTTTTGTTCCTGAATTGTAGAAAAGCCTAAAATTAAGGGTGCTTCAGATTGACAACATCTAGAAGTAGCTCAGACCCAAGTCCCGTTGCACAGTGAAGTGTTGGTTTTTCAAGTTTAGCAAAAGGGAAATGCACGCTTCCAGGTTTACCAAAGGGCAAGAGAGCTGGGCTCTGCCCTTGCCTCTGTTCGTGCTGGTTGGTGCAGTGTGCTCACCTAGTGGGACAAAGTCGGGACAATTGCTGAAAGATGGGCCATGAGTTCTCCTGCTATTGAGTATCCTAAATAGTGACAGTCAGGTTGCTGATAAGATGACCCATTAGCTCCTTCCCATGTTGTGGGCAACACTGATGGAAATCTTGTCATGATGCTGTGTTTTTCCAGTGCAGCTGCCTCCTTCTTCTCATCTGCTGTTGTGTTAGTTGGTCTCTCCACCTTTGTTGACTCCTACACCAGGAATTTCAGCTCCTTTTCACCTGATCTGGCCTGTGTCCAGCTCATTATCCACCCCATTCCCTGCTGCCCCTTTCTGCAGAACCCGGCAGGCTTTGCTAAGAAAAACAGCGCGCTCCGCCGTGACCTATCTCTTCCGTTTGACCCACTCTTTCCTTTAGTCACAAGCACAGCTTTGACTAATAATGTTGTTCTGGGGACTACGGCTTCTGTGAATTTCAAACACAACAGCTATGCTACTGCTACAAGAATCAACAGGTCAAGGGAAAGGGCCTGAGCAGTGGCATGTTGTTGTCGATGAAATTAATTAGCAAGGTACGGGCACGTTGGTGCTCTCATATTGAGACCTAGCCTGGGACTACTCCTGGCAGGCTACAGAAAAGGGTTACCTGTATGGTGTGAAGCAATAGCCTGCAGGTTTGTGTCAGACCTGAGAAGCAGTCTCAGGCCCATGTACTAAGGTAGGCGCAATCAGCGTGATCTAAACTGTCGTGATGAGTGACTCATCGGCCAGAAGATGACACCAGTCCTCACTGAACAGCACCTGGTCCTTCCCTCTTTTCAAGCAAGGGCTGAGCCCTAGCAGCTGTCCCGGCACCACTGTGCACCTCCCGTGAGACCTGCTCTTCCTTATTGTATCTGTTGGAAAGGTGCAATAGGATTCGGGAAGCACTGAGATAAAGTCGTGGCAGAAAACCCACCGAGGGCCTTCAGACCCTTCATGGTTTCTTCAGAGAATCCACAAGCCCCAGGTAACTGCAAAGAGAGAGGAGCTATGGCAGGAGGAAGATCACCTCATGCCTGCTCTGCTTCGTGTGTGGTTCCCTGAGCATCCCCACACACACTGCTCTTGGGGACGGGCTGAACCTGCGCTTGGTGCGAGCCAAGGTGTCCGTTCCTCTCTGCTTGACCTGTAAACAGAGACAAAAGTGAGCTCAAGGGCCAAAGGGTGGTGCTTCTTTAGTGTGAGGGCAGCCAGATTTACGTACTGAATTGCTGTGTTAAAACAATTCAGGCAACATTATGGGGGAAGACCTAGAGAGCTCATGCTCTACAAAAACCCAGGGGAGCCTCTTCTTATGTGCATACCTTATATTGTAATGTATGAAATATTGTAGCTAATGAGTCCCATTTACCTGAGATGTTAATACATCCACATCCTGTACCACTTTTATCTTTTGACATTTTAGAACTTTTTTTTTTTTTTTTTGCAAGTGGCAATTTTCTTGAGTATATTATCGTGAATTCATTTAAACACCTAAAAGCTTAGCTATAGTCTAATTGTGACATAGATATTGGTAATATGAAATCTGCTTTTGCAATGCAAATGCCTGTCTATTAGCAGAATCTTGTAAATTTGATTTTGAGTTGGGAGCAGCAGCTGTTTATTCAGTTCGCAGGTTTCTTGTGGTTTGTGGTTTCTTGTGGTTTAAACATTTGCAGGGTGTAGACACTAACGAGAGCACTGAATTGTTTATGGTGATCTTTGAAGCAGCATTGCAGATTTGTTATGAATTTTTGCCAGGCCAGCAGAAATGTATTAGCCTCTCCTTATGCAAAGTCCCACGTGCAGAGTAACCTCATTAATCCAACTCTTTTGGGACCATGCCACCATGTAGGTTAAGCGAAAACTTACCCTGCTACCATATGGCAGTTGATCACATCCTTTCTTCAGCTCTGTTATTTGGAGGGTTGTCTCTTCCCCAAAATAGTGCACTTAGGCATAAATAAAAACAAAAACAAAAACCTTATTTTTATAGCTCTTGCAACAAAAGCCAATGTAAGAGCAATGGACAAGGCATCAGGTTAGCAGTCATCTCGGTGACTTGTGAACTAGCTCTGTAATGCTGGGACCGTACTGGGAGTGCATGAATGTGCTCTCCTAGTTGGAAACCCATCTCTTACAACAGTCTTTTACCAGAAACTGTGAAGTAGACCTCCTGTCACCATTTTATTATTTAATTTTTTTATTTTACTCTATTATTTATTTTATTATTTTATTTTATTTTATTTTATTTTATTTTATTTTATTTTATTTTATTTTATTTTATTTTATTTTATTTTATATTTTATTCTATATCTCATTTATTTCATTTATTTTATTTAACTTTTGCAGGTACTTCCACACAAGTTCTATCACTTCATGTTTTCCACTCCAGTACTCTGCAAAATGTATTTCCAGGAGCCCGGTCAGTTCATTCTGGTTTGTATGAGCTACAGGGCAAACTGGGCTGTTTCTCCCAAACTCCGAGAGCGTGTGACCAGATTTCTCCTAATAACTCCTAGCTTAATAAATACTAGTTACAGAGTGCTCCACTAGATTGTTATCACCTCTTTAGGGAAAGAGATGAATTTAATTGAAGTAGGCTGGGCAAATCTCTGAAGAGATACACTTGTAGAAACAATATAAAACCATGCAGGAATAGGAAAATTAATCTCAGAGTCCTTTCCCCCTAATCGTTCTTCATGACATATCATATTCCTTACGTAGATAGGCAAAAGGGAGCCCTCTAGGGTAAGTATTATGTAGTAAGACCTCTGTTTTCAAGGTGCTTTGCAGCTGGTTTCATTTTGTATTTCAGCAGCAAGGAAGGTTCATGAAATACACTGACTTACACTGCAACTTCTACCTCAAAGAAAACCTACACTGCTGCTCACCCAAGCCCCTGAAACCTTGTGAGCAGAAAGGTCTCTTTATCTATGCCCTGCCTCTCTGAGTATCTACCAAAGATTGGATAGAAGGGCTGGAGGGCCCTGTGTAATAGCTCAGACTGCCCATTCTCTGGCTCCCCCAAATAGGGTGTGAATGGGTGAACAGAGGCCACCCCTCTTACCGAAGTCCCATGCTGGCCTTCACTTTTTTTCACTCCTATGGATGTTTCACAGCTGCCAAAGCCTCACATTAATGTACTGGCCTCTCCTTGTCCCAGTGTTATCCATCATCATACTGCTGCTCCCACTCTCCATTGCCTATGCACTGTCCTATCTGTCTACTTTTTCTGCAATTATCACGTCTTTCCCTCCCATTGCTCTCAGATGCCTTCAGCAAACAGTCAGACCCGTCCTGTTCTGCTCATACACACTGCAGCAGTAGGGTGAGGAGCACAGAAGGGTGGGAAGAGAGCAGTGCTGTACAGCTGGAAGGAGTAGGATTGCTTGTGATATTTAAAACCACCTGGAGATCTTTGTACCTAGCAAGGTAAGTGGCTTCCTGTGGTCTGTTTTATGCAGTGTCCATTCCTTCCTTGCTATTAACTGAATGCAAGACCCCTGTCCAGCCATGGC